TTTTTTGAGACAGAGTCTCACTATGTCGCCCTTGGTAGAGTGCTGTGGTGTCACAGCTCACAAAAACCTCAAATACTTGGGCTTAAGCAATTCTCTTGCCTCAGCCTCCCAAGTAGTTGAGACTATAGGCACCCACCATAATACCCAGCTATTTTTTTTTTGTTGTTGTTGTTGTTGCAGTTGTCATTGTTATTTAACTGACCCATGCTGGGTTTGAACCTGCCAGCCTGGATGCATGTGGCTGGTGCTATAACCACTGTGCTACTGGTGCCAAGCCCCATTTTAATTTTTTTTTTTTTTTTGAGACAGAGTCTCACTTTATTGCCTTTGGTAGAGTACTGTGGTATCACAGCTCACAGCAACCTTAAACTCTGGGGCTTAAGTGATTCTCTTGCCTCAGCCTCCCAAGTAGCTGGGACTACAGGCTCTCACCACAATGCCCAGCTATTTTTTGGTTGTAGTTGTCATTGTTGTTTGGCAGGCCCAGGCTGGATTCGAACCCACCAGTTCTGGTATATGTGGCTGGTGCGCTAGCCACTGAGCTACAGGCACCAAGCTAGTACCATCTTTAATAACTAACTGCCTTCTAGTATTTTTATTTATTTGTTTATAGACAGTGTCTCACTATGTCACCCTCAGTAGAGTGCTGTGATGTCACAGTTCACAGCAACCTCAAATTCTTGGGCTTAAGCAATTCTCTTGCCTCAGCCTCCCGAGTAGCTAGGACTACAGGCACCCACCACAACGCCTGGCTATTTTTTTTTTTTTTTTTTAGTTGCAGCTGTCATTGTTGTTTGGTGGGCCTGGGCTGGATTCAAATCCACCAGCTCAGGTGTATGTGGCTGGCGCCTTAGCCACTTGAGCCACAGGCGCTGAGCCAACCCCTGGCTGTTTTAGAGACAAGGTCTCTCTCTGGCTCAGACTGATCTCGAACCCATGAGCTCAGGTAGTCCACCCACCTCAGCCTCCCAAGTGCTAGGATTACAGGCGTGAGCCACCACACCCGGCCCCCAGTACCATCTTTTCTTTCTTTTTTTTTTTTTTTTGAGACCAAGTCTCAAGCTGTCACCCTGGGTACAGTGCTCTGACGTCACAGCTCACAGCAACCTTAAACTCTGGGGCTTAAGTGATTCTCTTGCCTCAACCTCCCAAGTAGCTGGGACTACAGGCGCCTCCACACACCTGGCTATTTTTTGTTGTAATTGTAATTGTTGTTTAGCAGGCCCAGGCAGGGCTCAAACCTGCCAGCTTCAGCATATGTGGCCAGCGCCCTACTCACTGAACTACGGCACCTGGCCCATTTTTATTTATTTATTTATTTTTTGAGACAGAGTCTCACTATGTCGCCCTTGGTAGAGTGCTGTGGTGTCACTGGTCCCAGGTAACTTCAGCACTTGATTCCCTAACCCACTATCTATAACATGTCACTTCTCTGTCTTTCTATAACAGGTGACCTTGGAGAAGGTG